TACTTATTTTTTCATGTTTGGTTGGTGAGTAGAAAATATTTTCTAAAAAAGATTTTTAGTGTTTGCTTTATGAATGAAAAACGTTTTTGAGAAATATCTTTTATTTTTACTAGAGTAGAAAATAATTTTTGATATTGAAAATATTTTTTAAAAACAAACTTAAATTATTTTTTTGGGGTAGGGGTGGCGAGTAGGGGGTGGGTGGGTTCGGGGGGGGAGGGTCAAGTGTATGGGTGAAAAAATAAAATTTTGAAGTTGGAAGAGAGTTTTGGAAAATGTTTTCCTTATGTTTTGAAGGGAAGTCATTTTCCTTAAATTTGAGAAAAATGAGTTGATTTGGAAAACATTTTCCAAAACATTTAACCCAACCAAACAAGAGAAAATTAGAAAACATTTTCCGAAAAATGTTTTCCTTCATACCAAACACACCCAAAATATGCTAAATTAAGTTGTTGTATGCACTTGTATAATTTCTTAGTACGTAACTAAAAAAAATCAGTATAATTTCTTTTACTTTGCTGAGTATTATTTGTCTGCTCATTTGACGAAATACTTTCATAGCTTATTGAATGATCCAAGGTCCAAAAATTTAGATCGGACTACATTTATTCCTTTTTGATTAAGAATTCAAAATTTTATGCTAAAACAAACTGCAATATTAAGATCAGTTTATAAAGGTTAAAATTTTTCCCATATAGTCGGAAGGTGATTTGGCATATTAGAGGATAGAAAAGAACATATATCAAGGATTTAGAAGAATGTCAGTTAAGATCGATCCAACATTTGAGAATCCAAATTGGTGATCATTCGGTTAATCCAACCATATTTCGTTACTAATCAATCGAATGGTTGCCATCGGGGAAAATGATGGAAATTTGTGGCTCGAAGATTTACATAGTCGGAAGATGATCTGGCATATTAGAGGATAGAAAAGAACATCTATCAAGAATCGAAAAGAATGTCAGTTGAGATCGATTCAAGATTTGAGAATCCAAATTAGTGATCATTCGGTTAATCCGACCATATTCCGTGATTAGATCAATTGAGTGGTTATCATTGAGAAAACGTTAAAAATTTGTGGCTTAAAGACATGAAAGAAATAAAAAAGAATTTGTGGCCCGAAAAAAGAATAAAAAGACAAAATGATAGATATTTCTATAAGATTTTGTATTAGCTGACACGCGTAACAATATTCATAGGTGGAACGCTTTTATTAAACATAATTCTTTAAGGTTTGAGTGGAGCTACCTATATATTGAGTTATTGACTTGGCCACCATCATTTTTATCATTTTTGGGCCTCGGCCCAATCCTTGAGGCTAATGGGCCAATAGAGTAAGAGACTGAGCTATTGGGCATCACTTCTAATGAAGAGAAACTTTCATAATCAACGCTACTATATATTCTAATTACTCAATAAAATGATAGTTTCAACAATTATATAAATTGTCCAAAATTATTTCTAGATACATATATTCGATGCGTTAGATTTCATATATCTCAGATACATATGTTGTTAAATTTACATTATTATTGTCAGTTTAAAATCTCCTGTAGCTGAATTCCATAAAATAAGGAGACTAACGATTTTTGAAGATCCTATATGTATCTTAGTTATATAGTTTTTTCATTAATATGAATCTGATTCATAATTTCATAGTTAAAAAATTTGTATTTATATTACCTTTCCCAAGATTTAAACTTGATTAATTTTATTGTATTATTTTTTAAAATAATAAACTCAAACTTTAATTTTTACTAAACAAATTATGATTTATAAGACGTAAAAAACTCAAAGCATCATATTTGTGGTTCACAATGATTCTTTTTATATGTGTTTCACATTTTATTTATGTTTTACAATTTTGTGTATATGTTTGTATCTAGTATCAATTTATATAGTGTATTCAATATTAATTTTATATAGTGTATTTAGATACATATATATGATATCAAAGATACACATATTTGGTGTCAAATATACACGGATTCATTTATCAAATAAGTCAACACTCGATGTATATGCGCATAATTAGATACTTAGAAGAAAAGGAAGTATTCTTTTAGGGTGTTATTAATATTTATTTTAAACCAGAAAATCTGTTGATTTAGATCCAAAAAGCATAGTAAACTGTCACAATCAAGAAAAGAAGTATTTTTTAAAACACACAAGCAAAGAGTGATTTTAAAATAATTTTCTGATTCTGCTACATCTAATATTCAAATATTTTTTATATTGTTTTGTTAAGTTACTGCCTTGAACACTGAATTTCTATTATATAGAAATGAAGACGACCATGATGACCAAGGCTATTTTCGTAATTTTATGATTTATCTAAGGGCATATTAGTCTATAGATATATATCAGTTTTCTTTTCTTGTTAGCCGTACTTTCTGGAATCTCATTTCTCTTGGGATCCTATTCTTCCTCCTAAACTCTCTGGTTCTTCTATCTCTTCAAAATATTCAATTTTGGTTATCAAAGCTCCTCATAATAATTAATCTATCTCAATTTTAGATTTCAAGAAAGGTGCTTTTGAGCAAGTCACACATATAATCAACTGCAAAGGGTTTCAAGTAAGAAGGTGTATACTTTTTTTCCTTTTCGATTGTTTCTATCAATACAAATATATGTGCTTCCTGATTCTCTGTTATGAGAAATTTAAGATCTTCGGGTTATATTTCGAGATATTGTTATAATCAGCGATTTTTCAGCATATATTATGGGTTTTATTTTGTTGTTTTATTTAAAGGAGGAGTCTTGTGATGCTCCATTAAGAACATAGTTTAATGTCAGTGATAATCTAGGGTTTGATGTTTATTTGGATGTATGTATTGCGATTTAAATTATGCAGAGAAATGTCTAATTCTGCTAAAAGGATGAACAGTACATTAAGGGCAAATTTTGGTATTTCATATCTATTTTATTTTTAAAATTCCATCAACTTTGTGGTATATTTCCTCCACAAATCACCTGATTTTCTAGAAACCACAACTTACGTGATTTTTCTAGAATTACTAGGTGTTTGACACAAATAAATAGGCACCAACCGAGTTCACTCCTCACTCCTCTGTTCTCTTGTACCGGTAAGTTCCTCTCCCTTTCTCTTCTCTCACTCTTTTTTTCTTCAATTTTGAAAAATACTGATTTGTGTGATTGTAATCTATATTGTTTGATATTAGCTGCCTTGCGAATGATTTCTGGCAAAGAGCATATGAAAATGAAAAAAACAATAATTTACATATGGCTTCATGTTCTTTCAAATAAATAATAAAATCAATTGTTGCCTCTGCCGTCTTAATTTGGGAAGATAATTTTCAATTGTGGTGGACTGCGAGCATTTGAAGATTTGCATTGTAATTTTTTTTAAATCATAACTATAGAAAAGGAGGGGCAGGGGGTGAGGAGTTGGGGAAAAATCTAGAAAAATACTATAGAGAATTGACATCAGTTCTATTTGCTTGCTCATATAGTAGTACAAAAAAGACATGATATTAATATAAGATGTCTCTTCCTTATCATAGCTATAGGAGATGTGGAGTTTGAAGAGTTGGGAAAAAATCTACAGAAGCATTGACATTAGTTCTATCAGTCATTTAGCTCAATTATATTATACTAGCTCTGTCGTTTACTCACTCTGGTCAAATTCTAGAAGCAACAGTTAGGTTATTCTATCAACAGTGAAACAAGATTTCTTTGTACGTATTTTCTCTTGCTTTTTCGGAGTCTCTTCAGACCCTCTTATTTCATGGTTGTTGCCAGGTCTTTGCTCGACATTTTTTGTCTATCAATGAAAGTAACTGCTGAAACTTTGATTTGAAAAATACATTGAAAAAATAAAAAGAGAAGGGTTAATTGCCGGCGGACAGTTGCTTTATTTTTTATTGCGAGTCATTTTAGTTCTCCTTTTCAGTTTCATTTTTCTCTTAGCTATTTCTTTATTTCTCTAAATCTGTGGCACTATTCTATATTTTTATCTCTTCAATTGAGTTGCGTTTCTAGATTACATACATCGTATGTCCCTTTTTTTTCTTCAAAAAGACTGCGTTAGTTTCATTTAACAATTAAGATTTGAAGCAGCGCAAATCAACACAAGTTGATTCTCATTTTGTTTGAAATTTTACACTGATACACAAATTATAATGGTTATGTGTTGTATTGAAGGGAATACTCCAATCTGCTAGCAGAGTTAAACGGATCACCAATTGTGTTCAAGTTAATGAGGTCTGCCTCCATTTACTATTCTTTTTATGTAATTACTTGTTCGTGATCCACTTTAGAGAACACCTAATGAGATTTAATGGTCACGTATGTTGTTGTGAATAGAAGTGTTCCTGTGACTATAATTAGGTTAGTTTAACATTAGTTCGTAAGACACTATATCTTCCATTCAAAACTTTCAAATCAAGCTACAATGCAATTTCAGCACTTAGGCACTACATTTTTTTCTGTCATAACCAAGGTTTAACAAATCTCATCCAAAAAGATTTGTTTTTCTGAAAACTCCTAAATGATGCAACAATTAATTTTGTTCTGGTATATAGATACTATAGAGTGTAGTCTAAAACATCTATTCGAGCACCAATTTTTAAAGCAAAAAGGAGGCGAGTTTTACCTTCAAGCAGTATAGAGCATTCTTTAAGTGGTTTTAATTTTTATTATCTTACAAATCACAAGTTTCATCCTTGTAGAATCCTTTCTTGCAGATTTTCTTCCCAGTGGAACCAAATAATGGAACTTCTTATTAATTACTAGCTTCTTTCTTTTGACGTCTAAGGCAGAGCCTATTGTAGTTCAAACTTCTTTGTAGATACTAAAATGATGCAGCCTTATTAAAGCAGCCAAAAGGGAAATGGAGGTACTACGCATGAAACTTCAGGTGATTGTCTTGTCTCGATCTCAAGATTCATATTCAAAAGTTGCACAAAGAATATCTAATATGGGATGAAAACTCTTACATAGGGATCACATTCCGAGGTGCTTGAGCAAAGATTTACTGAAACTTAGAAATGACCTACTGACGGTAATTATTATTACTATTTGTTTGTTTTTGTTAAGAGTAGAATATTGATCTTATCTTGCATTGACGTAGCTCATGACTGCTTATTCTTCATTCATCAGTATGAATTAGAGCGAGAGAAGCTTGCCATGGAATTGGAGGAGGATAAAAGATCACAGAAAGAGTGAGAACAATGCATCATTGAGCAACAAAAAAAATTCATAATCTCAGTAATCTTACATCTGTTAAAATATGTGAATTCAGTTGTTGTGAACTTTCCTAGACTATCTTGTCTCTTTGAATTGTCCCGAGTTTAGCTCTTTTTTAGAATTTTCAGGTGACACTCCACCTAGGACACAATGAGATGCTTGGATTTCATCTAAATCAATCCTTGCTTTTGGTTTGGTTAGCCATTTTCTTAAATATTACTCCAATTTTGAAGCCTAAATTGTTTTGGAGTCTTTAGGTGTGTTCAACCTTCTTATCTTTGGTAAGTGTCATCTTCTGCAGGATTTAAATTTTCCAGTTAGCTTCTTTGCATTAAAATGTCAAGTTTTCGAGGTCTATGGTTGCTCTTTCGGCTGGTAATATGTCAATGTCAAGATTTGTACGATCATCTTGGATATGTCTATCTCCCTTTTCACTGATTTTTATTATCTATGTATAAAAATCATATGTGTTTATATTTATCTGAGTTGTTTTAACCTATGAAATGTGCCTTTAAAGTTGAAATTATATCACCATATAATCATACTAAATAGTATTAAACATATGGACTATAGTTCAGTGGATTTGTTTTAGAAGAATATTCGTTGGAATAGAAAAGTTACAGCAATGTTAGGGAGGAGTTACAATTATGATCATACCTCTGAATATGTATGCACTGAACAAAAATGCTAGATGAGTGAGTTATTTAAACTAATATTATTCGAGAAAAAATATTTTTTAGCTTGACAAAGAGCAGACAGAGCTAAATTCAAAAAACGTCGTTTGCTCGACAACTCTGTACCTTAAATTCACATTCTAGGTTGCTAACTATCGTACATTTCATTTTAAATCTTTTTTATTATGTTATCATGTAGTTTTATCCATCTTCCATAGAGAAGTCCGTCCTTACGTGTTTGAAAAACTGGTAAAATGCACTTAAACATTGGAGTTCTCTCTTTTTGATTTCTTAGAGATAGCAGGGACTGAGGAGATTTATTACCCTAATATCATTGTAATAGTAAAATCAAAACTACAATATTAACAAGGATCCTTGAACTCAAAAATTGGGTCACAACATAAATTCTAAAATTTGAGTTGTGCTAATAAAACTCAACACATAACATTAGAGATGATAAAGTAAAGAATACATTTGCTGCAAAACTCTATCTATAACCAAACAACCAAGAAGGGTACTTCAACTAAGTTGTCAACATATGTATCTATTTACAAGTACCCAAAGAAGAGACATAAAACATGTTTTGATAAAAATCTAATTAAATTCATTAGCAACAGGAAGCGATAATTCAAAGAAGCTTAACTCAGAGGCGGGTGTAGGATGATCTGGTGAAACCTATAGATATTGATGACAATGAAGAATCCAAAAAATGATCTTTCTTCAGCTGATAAATTCAATAGATTACAGAATGAAAGAAAAATTGGTAAGCACTCTCAAAGCAAATACAAAAGCAGTAGAGAACGAACTCATATAAACTCCAATCTACCCTTTAATGACTTAATAGAAACAACAAAAGAAAGTTCAGATCATGCCCCCTAATCAATTATTTCGAGCTTGATTAATTTTTAATAATTTGAAAGATGGCTGATGATACAAGGAAATCGCCTTCCTCGTTTTTTCAAGCTTGAACCAATATCATTTGAAGGTATCTTATATAAATATAAATTGAGTATGTATGGTTCTCTGTTGCAATGTCTGAACTAAATCTCAGGTCTTTCAATAGTATTTCATCATGAAAAATATTATTACTTCTTGTAATTCAGTTGGTCACTCACAGAGATGAAAATGCACCAACTTTTGTGGATCAATATATATAGTGTGATCAAGATGAAGAGTAGTGGACATGTTGGTGGAGATTTCTGTAAAATTTCTAAACGTAAGTTCCCTCCCCACAATGTCCTGGTAGTTCACAATTATATTTGTACCTGGGGTAAAGACTGCTCAGAGTGGAGTTCAAGTGCAGGAACAAAAGCCATAAAAAAAAAGGTTGATAGAATTTAAAAACTTCTTGATCGATTCAAAGCTAGAGCTCACTAAGATTGTTGATAATTATAAAAGCTTTTACTTATTATTCATATTTTTATTTTTTGTCTTACGTAATTTTTTGTATAAAAATGTTTGTTATGGTACTTGGTTTCTCGAACATATTTCCTAGGTAGATCAAACATAAATTATATCAGAATTTAAATTGTTGGGCCCGTGCTTAGCACGGGCAAGAACCATCTAGTATATATAGAGAGAGAGAGAGGAGTGACAATGGGTAGGTGTGGATACAGGCAGGGCCGGTTAAAATATATTTCTTCAAAATATAATGCACATTATAAGTCATGTTACCAATTAAACTAAATTTGGTAATTTGAGCTATAATAAATTCAATTTCTATTATATTTACTAGAACAAATTGTTACCAAACTGTATTTACTAAAACAATTTGTTAACACTTTTTTGTACCTTAAAGTTTTATTATAGAGAATTGTAAAAACAACATCTAATCTAAAATAAATGTTTACATATTTGAGTCATACTTAATTGCAATTACATATTTGTTGTATGTTTCCATAACCTAACTTTTCAAATGTGCATCCCAATTTTTCCTCACTTGCAAATATTGTGTATTGCAAGTCATAAGGTTCACAATAAGTTGTTGTGGCATATTTTAGTCTAATACGAAGTCAGGTAGGGTGTTGAGGAGTTGGTCCGAAACACATTCTTTTCCTTTGATTGAAAATCCTGATTCTGCCGGCGGGGTGGTTTACCAAAGTAAAGACGATAACTAATTATGACAAGTAGGAACAATTATTTCATAGAGAGAATAAAGTTGGTTACACATACAAGTAGAAAATAACATGGTATTGAAAAGCAGAATTAGCAGCAGAATACAACTCAACCTGATTTATTGAAAGAACTAGTACTTATAATTAACTACCAGCCGGAAAGGTCAAAGCTTGTTGAGGATTATCTGAGCACCATACTGAGGCTTCATAACGAGTATTGCCTGAGGGGCATGAACATAGGAAGGAGAGAGCTTAAACCAAAAACGCTGCAGAATTTGAGATAAAACGAGCTTGGCTTCTGCCATGCCAAAGTTATTACCAATGCACATTCGAGGACCCCAACCAAAGGGGAAATACAAGGGCTCTTTTGCAGCTTTGGATACCCCTTCTGAGAACCTATTTGGATTGAATATCAATGCATCGTCTCCCCATACTTGGGGATCACGATGTGCTATATATATAGGCACAAATATTTGTACTCCTGCAGGAATTGTCATATCTCCCAATTTAGTGTTCTTTACGGTGCTTCGCATAAGGGTGAGTGCTGGATATAATCTCAACACCTCTTGGAAGATCATGTTCATCTAGTATTAATACACAAATATTAATGACATGTTTATAGTAGTACTCAGTAGTAAAATTAGGACTCTGTATCATCATAAAGACTAAAGAGAGAGCTTACTATTTTTAATTGATTCAAGTCCTCAAACTTTGGTTTGTTTTTTCCAAGGACTTGAAAGACTTCATTTCTAGCTTTGTCTTGCCACTCAGGGTGCATACTCAAGGCAACCAATGTCCAAGAGAGCAAAGCTGTGGTTGTATCTTGTCCTGCAAGATAGAATTCCTTACATTCTTCAATTATTTCAGTGGTTGATAGTCCTCCTTTTAAGAGTAACCCTAAAATATCATCACTTTGTGAGACTCCTCTTCGCATAGTGTCTTTTTTCTTCTCTATTATTCCGTTAATCAATGATAACACTTTCTTGTAGATGTATCTTGCTCTTCTGTTTGATGCTGTTGGAAAGAATCTGCGTGCGTAGTTAAAATCATAAATACATGTTAGTTATAACAATGGATAGTATATATTTTTGAAGAAATTAGATAAATACTCACCTTAGTAAGGGAAAGAAAAGAGTAAATGGAGAAGCCAAAATAAGATCGCACTGCTCTTTCTGAAGTATGAAAATAGTCCTTCCTTCTTCAATATTGCTACCAAAAGCAGCTTTAGATATAACATCTCCACCTACATTTAGGAATTCATCTGCCACATCCAACTCACAACTTCCACTTTTGCTAACCAATTCCTCCCATCTATTTATCATTTCATCACAACAATCACAAAATGCTGGGTACAACCTCTGTGCAGTCACACAAAAATAGGAATTTTAATGAATGGTCATCCAAAAAGAAGAAGAGAGGAAATAATAAGTAACTAGTATAATACCTTAATCTTCTCTATATGAAAAGCAGGGTTTAGTATCTTTCTATGGTGGTCCCATTTTTGACCATTGTAACTAGCAAGTCCAGTAACAAACATGTCAATGAAGGCATTGGCTTGAGGCTTCTGAAATTCATTATGTCTGTTCACCACTTCTTTAATTAGCTTTGGATCTGATACTACAATCCGAGGTGTTGGTCCAGCCCACATCACAAATAATCTCTCTGCACCATCACAATACCTAATTAGTAAAGTTTTAACAAAATATATATGGAATGTGTTTTAAAGAAATATACATGGCTGGCTTACCGTAAGTTTTAGAAAGATGAAGAATAAAAGGATTAACCCAAGGAACGATATCATGATTTACTAACGGTGTTTTCTTTGCTTCTCTAGACATTCTAGTCATCTCTTTCAGATTTCCAAACAGAAATTGGTAGGGCAGCCCATGAATACCTTCCTTCTTCAGCTTCTTTTCGATCATCTTTGGCCACCACCATAATGTGTAAAACGATTTTACACAAAAAATCGCTATCAAAATACCAATTGTTGCACCAATTACTGTTGCAATTGCCATAGCCTAGATTTTTTCTATCAACTGATGAATGAATAGTGAGGTTGAGATGTCCAAGAGCAGAGCAAAGGTTGATGAATGAATAGTGAAAGTGATACTACTGGGAGAGGTCACTGAAGAACACTAGAGGAGACGTGTATTTATTGGAACCTGAACACAATCGGCAAAAAAAGGGATTTTATTCAACACATTTAAAAAAATGATAGGCACATGTTGTATACTGAAACTAAGCTGACATTTATTAAGTGGGATTAGGAACCCAAGTAATGGGGAAAAAAGAGCTACACCAACTATTATTCCATCTGTTCCTGACTTACTTTCTTTTTAGTCCGTTAAAAAAAAATGACACATTACTATATTAAATAATAATTTAATTATAAAATGTATATTTTACCTTTAATGACTATTCCCTCGTCCCTATTTATTTGTCAAATATTTCTAAATTGATTTCCCTTTTTACTTGACATTTTTTACAAATCAAAGAAAGACAAAAAATTTCTCTATTATACCCTCAATTTATTAACATTGAGTTATTGTCTTTAAAAAATACTAAGTAAAATATATTTGAGACTCTATAAATTAATAGTAATAAAATGATAAACTCACGATATCAATTATTATTTTCTTACCATTAGATACGTCAAATGTGGAGCTATCAGCGGAATGAATCATTAAATAATTAACAAGGTTTTTAATTCCTTGAAGTTTTCATTTTTCTAGAGT